TATATTATATTATATTATATTATATTATATTATATTATATTATATTATATTATTTTATTTTATTTTATTTCATTTTTTGTTCTTTTCTATTCTATTCTAACCCATTCCATTACGTTATATACCATTATATTTTATACCATTAACTGTTGCACTATATTTCCTTATAATTATCAACTCTTATTTTCTACAAGCCCCACATTATGCGCTTAATTAACTTTGGATATTGACGATTACTTAAATCTCTTCCCCATATCCATTTGAAAAGAGTTTCTCCTTTTCTATTAAATAGGGAAATATTGCATTCTAATAAGTCATATTTTTAAACAGACTCCTTAAATGCTAACTTGCTTTGAAGTTCTAATGAGATCTAGAGCACTAGTGGATCTCTAATAGAAATGTATTTGCCTTAGGTTGCTTGAGGTTATGAAGGACTGATAGTGAACTTTTCCACAATTATACGAATAGAACACTCAAATTTCACTAATGAATTTCATTTAGTCTTTTATACTAACATAAATTCCAATCTATGCTTGACTGCCGTTTCTACTTCGCCTAGGTCTTATCAGCCTCAACGGGAATCGAACACAGATAGCTCAGCTTTTATTTTAGTAATTTACCACTACACCAAATTGCCACACATTCTAATGGATCAAAGAGTATATGTGAATTTCAAGTGATAGTGAGAACTTTTCTATCCCATTTGTATTGTGGATTTGTCGAGGATGCAAGCTAGAAAGTCACGTCCGCATTGTAACCCACTGGCTCCCCTGGCACCGGTAACATGTCGAAAATCAGCGCTATACAACCCGGATTCTATTTTCGTGAGAGCCTTTGATAGGATTCAAGCGATGCCGAAACTACGATCCATCTTCGATTAGATAATCTTTTTTGGGAACCAAAGCTGGGTGCAACTAACCATCATCGTGAGGGATACTTAAATCATTTTAGGAGATTTCATTATTAATACTTTTCACCTTATGCGACTTAGGTTGATTTCAGTTTTTATCGTAATTTGAACATTATCTAATTTATTTAACAGGTCTTATACAGATATTGTCAAAAATAAACCAAAGAGTTTCTGTACTTCTTTAACTTTACGAGGTTATAATATTTTATGCGAAAAGTTTAGCTTTAAGTCCTTTGGTGAAGTTTTTTAAGAAGGCTAAATCGGCCAATATTTATTAACTTTTATTAGTATTGTTCGAAACACCGTTGGCGAGGTCCATTGGTTTTCACTTATGCTTTTTTTAAATATTGATTCTCCACTGCTACATGAACTCTTATAGGTCAAATTGTAAAGCCGTTGCTAGCCCTTAACTGTTTACTTTAGGCCTTAATTGTTAAGATATTCTATTATTCGATAGTTCTGCAAGAAATGATGGTTATTCCAGTGATCGAATATTGGGGCAAGATCAAAAGTTCTCTACAATTTTTGTCAACAAATGACTATTTGTCCAAATAATATCATTATGAAACACTTTATCGTGTAGGTAAAAGGATCCCTTAAAGTGAAGACACACTCAGTATGAATTGCCTAGATTTTTCCCAAAAATTCTCTAGCAATTGTTACTCTTCGTTGGCTCATACTGGCTATTTTCTTTTGAAAGACCCTCCCTATTCTCTAATGGTTGACCAGCTGACGCACTAATATAGTATCTCTTTTTTTATTTCAGGTGATGCTAAAGAGGTGAGCGTCAGTCTTCGTGGTGGTCCCCAAGTTACTCGACTCACATCGCATCTGCAGATAACCGAGTTCAGCTTGAAGCAAGAGGGCGAATATCGTTGCACTGCAGAAAACGACCTCGGAATGGCAACTAAGAGTCTTTCTGTGATCATGTCCACTTTGGATGACGGACCATTGTTCAATGGAGGGAAACCC